GTTGTTCAGCATCTTAGCTGTGGAGGGCAGTGTCACTGGCCCTCATATGTGGGATCTGAACCGAGGCCCTCTGGCGTCCCAAGCCAGCTCTTAACCAATGCACCACTCGGCTGGCCCGGGGAGCTTACATTTTAACAGGATCAGTATAGCTATGGTGTTGAGAAGAGTCTTTAGGGAGGCAAGGTGGAAGTAAGACTAGTTAGAATGATGCACAATAACCAGCGCACAGTAGCAGTGGAGGTGGAAAGAAGTGGTCAGGTGCTAGAAATGTGTTGAAGGCAGAATTGACAGAACTGGCTGATGAGGGGGATGAGAGGAAAAGGAGCCAAGAATGACTCCAGTGCTTCTGGATGAATAGATTTGTCATTTACTGAGAAGACTGTAGGAGATGCAGTTTTGGGAAGGGGTGGATGAAGACAGGAATTTGGTTTTGGACATGTTGAGACTGAAGGGACTTACTAGCTAGTAAAGTGGAGATATCAAATAGGTAACTGGATATATATGAGACTGAGTTCCAGGTTGGAGATAACACTTTTGGATTCACCAGCACGTGGCTGGTAATTAACACCTTGAAACTGGATGGGGTCACCTAAACAGTGACTTAGAGAAGAAAAGCACAGGCCTGAACTCTGGGACACTCCAACATTTGGAGGTTAGGAGGCAAGGAAAAATACAGCAATGGAGATCGAGGAGGAGTAGCCAATGAGATGGCAGGAAAATCCAGATAGAATGGTATTCTTTTTTTTTTAAAGATTTTATTGGGGAATTGGGGAAGGGGAACAGACAAGTTGCTGTCCTTTTGTTTTTCAGTCTAATTGTCGAGGACGTCGCTTCACTGGCCCATGTTGGTACCATCATTGCGCTCTTCCTGGGTGAGACAGTTGCTTGAGGGCCCTTGAACGGCCACGCACGACGGCGGCTCATGGCAGCTCATGAAAGCCCGCTGCTGGCCAGCCCCACTGCAGCCCACGCCGTCGCCGGCGAGTCACGGCAGCCCAGCTCCAAGTTGAGCTGTTGTTCAGCATCTCAGCTGCAGAGGGCAGTGTCACTGGCCCTCATATATGGGATCCGAACTGAGGCCCTCTGGCGTCCCAAGCCAGCTCTTAACCAATGCGCAACTCGGCCGGCCCTAGAATGGTATTCTTGAAGCCCAGGAAGAGCAATGCTTCCAGGACAGCATGACCAATTGTGTCAAATGTGCTGTTAGGTCAAATAAGATGTGTACTGACAACTGAACCCCGGACTTAGCAATGTGGAATTAATTTCCTGGGAGCCCGGATGGAGTGTTCTGCATGGCTGGAAGGAGGGGAAGTGAAGGCAGAGAGTACAGAAAACTCTACTAAGGAGTTTTGTTGTAAAGAGAAGCTAGGGAATGGGATGGTATCTAGAGGGGGATGTGCAGTTGACACAAGAGTTTTTTGCTTTTAAACAAGAGAAACTACAGGATGTGTGCATGCTGATAGGGATAATCCAGTAACAAGAGTCACACGGGAAGCAGCAGCAGAGTGAAGCTGTTTGAGATGAAAGACGATTTCTGCTAGTAATGAAAATACTGACATGGCTGATATTACTGCAGTTTATGGTCTACGGCCATAATTGAAGTAAATGCAAATTTTCAGTTAGAAGTTAATGAAAATAATATGCAATTTTTTTTTTCTCATCCAAGTTTATGAGACTCCTTGGTTTTAGGGTCTGATCATGAGAGTTGAGTGACTAAGGTAAGACGGATGACGAGATCATTGGAGGGAAGGAGCGGGAACTGAGAGGCCGAGGTGCTGGAGAAATCATGTATGTGGACAGTGAAATCTAAGAATTCTGAAACTGTCGTCCTAGAGAATGTGACAGTGAGCCGGGAGCTGACATCTCAGCCTCTGCCTGAACAAACGCCACCTGAGCTGGGGAATCCCCAATGTATGAGGCAGCTTCTTCTAATTCTAGACAGTTACAATTACAGGAAACTTCTTCCTTATTCTGAGTTCAACTCTACTCCCTAATACCCCTAACTGCTTCTCATCCAGTCCTTCAGAACTACTCATAATGAGGCTAATCTCTCTGCCTTAAGATAGTTCTTCAAGCAATTGAAGACAGTTCCAAGGGTTTTCTATTTCAGGAAGGACATCATTAGGTCTTTCAACCATTCCTTATACATCCTTGTTTCCAAGACTTCCACTATCTTGGTTGCTCAGTTTGGGATACACTTGATTTGTTGATTTCCTTGGGGTGACAGAGTCAGGACAAGGTCTTCTGACTTCCCTTCTGCTGTTCAAATCACTGTGGTAATTAATAAATACTTTATTTGCCAAGGCAGGTGTGGGCACAACATTGTAACTGAGCGACAGCAAAACATCTTATACAAGTTACACAACGATGTTTCTCCCTCACACTCTGGAGCCTTTTGCTAGCCCTCAATTCACAGTGATTAATGTTGGAATTATTGACAAGAAAGAACATTACAGCGTTACTGTTCCTACCAAGGCAGAAAAAACTATCAATTGATACATCAGGAGGAGTACTTACAAGAATATCAGTGTTTTCAAAATAATTCCTCCAGTATGGCCTGATTTTCCTCTGTCCACCAATGTCCCATACATTCAGTTTAAAACCTTGTGACTGTACACTTTTGATGTTAAAACCCTGCAACAGAGAGAGGCAAAACCGCCAAGTTTTATTAGGCTTTGAGATCATCATTCTGACAAAATTATATTTAACAGCCATGTTATTTATTAATTCTGAGGTACTCTGCCAGATATGACACTGGTAATACTGAAAACAGTTTGCTAGAATAGGGAAGAAAGAAATGTATTTATACATGCTTACTTCATGCAGGTTGTGGAGTTAGTGTTAATAATGTCATGGCTAACATGACTCTTTCTATAATGAGTACACACACAAACACACACACACACACTGTTGAGGACAACTTAGTGTCAGAATAGCTCTGATACCACAGACCCACCCCATCCTCAGGATAGTAAAATTTCAAGGGACATTACATGTAACTAAGAAAAAACTGACGCTGAATGGAACAAATGCTATACTTAAAAAGAGGCAAGAGCTACAATCTGGAAGACTGGATTCTTTAGCAGTAGCTCAAAATTAAAGACATTGCCTCATATGGATTAATCAGGAAAAGGAAGGGGCTGAACTCAGGACACCATGGGGAGAGTTGGCTTGTCACTGGAGTAGTAGCAGCCCAGTGAGGAAGGAGGGGCCCGCTAGGACAGCACATTCAAGCTCTGAAGCTGAGCCCTCAATTACAGGAAGTGATGAAAACAAACAAGAGGGTATTCAAAACTGTTCTGTAACAGGTATCTCTGATGAACTCGAAAGGAAAGTCTTCATTTTTAGGACAGTTACTCGAGGTGGAACCTTGAGGAAGGTGAGCAAATCAGGGGCAGGCAGAATTGTGAGGGAGTTAGTGTGCAGAGAGACAAATGAACAAGACCTTTGGGGTTTAGAGGGAAGGCATTTCATGAGCAAGAATAAAAAAAAAATCTTGCAAAAATGATCTAGTGAAATCAGGATTTGAAAAATCCAACCAATAGCATGCTACCACAGAAGTGAAGTTTCATCCGGAATAACTGGAGTTAAAAATGGGTCTGGGGACGTCGCCATAAACATTTGCCTCATGCGGCAGCTTGCCAACACTACGCCTGGCACAGAAGGACAAGGCACAATGCAATGGTACAGAAACACTACCACCCCAATTCCCCCGAGGATAAATAGTCACTGGAGGATCACTGGGCATGATGCTGACTGCAGCACCTCTAAAACGCCATTGACTGAATAAATTAGACGTTTAAGAACTCTAAAGGGAAGTAGCTTAAGCTTATTGTAAAAGGCTGCTTCATTCTGACTCATTGACAGAACCACTTTTGTGTACTTAAAAATTTTACACTTAACTACAATATTAACTGTCAAATCCAGTAACATCTAATCCTCTAAAACGATGCAGGGAATAAACAAAAGTAAATCCTGGAATTCAACCATATGTATCAACTGCCTTAAAATTCTTTAAGTCATCAGATCCAGCCAATCTACTAAGAAATTATTCTAAGGAAATAATAATGGGTGGGCACAAACATTTAGAGATGGGTATTGCAAAAGTATTTACATATATAACAACATAGACAGATGTTCAAGATACATTAAATGAAAAAGGTGATACAAAAACAGCATACTCTCTAAGCCTTTTTATTTTTTATTTTAAATATACTCATCATATATATGCATAGAAAAAAACTGAATCAATATACTCCTGAATGTTAACAGTGGTTATGTATAAATGGACATTATAGGTGATTTCTAGTTTCTCAATTTTACTTATTTATACTTTCTAAATCTACTATAATGAGCATCGATTACTTTTTCTAATATAAAACAAAAACACAGTAAAAGTTTATTTTTAAAGATTATGAAAACTTGACATAACATAATAACAGAGTCACCTGTAACATATCAAACAAAGCCAGAAAGTTAGAACTAGAACTTTCAGTTCATTTCCATGTTCACAGTGTAGAAGTTCTATTTTAGTGGTGATCTTGACAGACACATCCTATCATTAATCCCCCAGCCGCCCCATCAAAAACCTCCCCACAAAACCAACTAGCTCTTCTTTTTCTGGCAGAAATGCCAACACACTAATATGTGTTTTCAGCCCTTCTAGGCTAGGCTACTGTAATTTGCTCCTCCCTAGGGTATATATTCAATTTGTTCAGAAACTGTAAAATTGCTCATTTGGTAGCAACTGAAATGACTTTTCTGCAGAGTTTTGTTTTGTTTTGTTTTGTTTTAGCTGAGCCATCCTGCCACCTGTTGGCAGCTCAGCAGCAATTCAACTCGGAGCTCGCTCTTAATCAACTGAGCCACTCGGCCGGCCCGAAGAGTTTTGAATCAGTAAGACTCCTAGCACAGCCATTCAAAGCTGACACCAAGCTGTTGCCACAGTAGGGTGACAGAAAATGCCAAATAAAACTGGTTTTGCTAAAACCACTAATGCTCAAACACTTTAAAATTGACTAAGACCAACAAGGCTGTCCCTAGTTAGGAACGCCAAAGGCTTGGTCAAAGGTCAAGCTTTCTCAGGATTTCCTACAGGAAAGGCGATCTAAAGAAGCCAACTAGAGTTCTTCCCATAGGGACTTGTCCTTCAACTTCCGCACGGTGAGCACCACCATTGCCTTATCCTTTGTGTTTTGCTCGCTCAGGCTTAGAAAAGAGGAGGGTTAATGAGGCTGGATTAAAAAATATAGGTAATTTTTTTACTTTAGAAATTGATATATATTTGTATTAAGTCTGAAAAAGACACACTAAAATATTTACAGTGGCTTTTCTCATATGACTCTTTGGTTTTCTCCTTTATACTTTCTCTGTATTTTCTACATGTATTAATTCTATAATTAGAGAAGATAAAGCTATTTTTATAAAGTAATCACTTAGATCGGAGGGAATTGTGTCTTGACACACACACACACATATGTATTTGAATTATTTAAAAAACATAAAGTATACATAAAATTAAATTTACCATTTTAACTATTTTTAAGTGTACAGTTCAGTGGTATTAAGTACATTTTCACTGTTGTGCAACCATCACCTCCATCCACCCCTAGAACTTTTTCATCTTGTAACACTGACTGACTCTCTGTGCCCGTTAAACAATAACTCCCCATTCCCCCTTTTCCCCAGCCCTGGTAACCACCATTCTACTTTCTGTCTATGAATTTGACTACTCTAAGTATCTCATATGAATGGACTCTCTTCATATATTTTTGAAATCTTATTTTTAAACTGTATAGACTTTTCTCAGTAACAAACCTTATAAGTAGATAAAACTGTATTTCCCATTTTGTCTTTTGCTATTGTCATCTTCCATTTGGGACCAAGGCAGTGCTCACCTGTGTAGGTGTGATGTGGCTGATGTCTTCAGATGCAAGTTGCTTCAGAAGAGTGGTCTTACCGGCATTATCCAAGCCCAGGAGAAGGAGCCTCACCTCCTGGTCTGGTGCACTTTTCAATTTGCGCAAAATTGAGAGTAAGCCCTTGAACAACCATGAAGAAGAGATTACTTTTGGGGTGCTGACCTTGATATTATTGAACATCAGAACATTTTCTTCTCTTTGAAAACAGTTCTTGGTTGCGGAGAGCTTAGTTATTATTATTTTCCATTTTAATGTCATTTATTCCATTTGCTTCCCCCTTCTGAGTTTTTGCAGAAGTAGGTTAGTAAATTCAGCAACTTAATAAGCAGCATGGCTTATTCCTGCTCCTCCTATCAATCCAGCTTAGCAGTCACCCCAAATCTCCTGGAAGTATAAACTACCAACTCATGTTCTTAAAGCCATTTATATAAACTCAGCGTATAGCACTCATCATATCAGACTATAGGTAATTGACTTTTGTATTTTTCTCCTTTACTAGAGTGAAGTTTCTTGTGGGTAAGAATTATAACTTCTGTTTCTCACATGCCTAGCACTTATTAGATAGATACTAGATAATAGTTGTTGAATTAAATAGAATTATCCACTCAAGTTAATGCAAGATTTAAAGGTGCTATACAAAGAAATACAAGAAGTTGTATAAAATTGTATCCGGGCTCTCCGTTTGAGACTCTTAACTATTTCAGTTCACGTTTAAGACTCCATTGTTCAAAATACTCTACCATCATCTAACTTTCACAAGACCCTGACAGGATAGGGGTACAGTATGGATTATCTATGTTTTTCAGGTGAAGAATCAGATACAACAAGAGAATTTAGGGAGTTGTAAAAGTTACCCATGAAGCAAAAAATATCAAAATTTAACCACACTAGTTATTTTTGACTAGTAACCTAATATTTCTGTTTCTTGGTTTTACAATTACTAATTTTTATAGATGGAAGTAAACCATGTTGCTTTTTTCCTAAGAACAGGAAAAACATTGTAAGATAGTTACTTGTTCTGTCCCGCAGTTCACAAACCTGTTCCAATGAGGCATGGTTACAAGAATCAGAGTCACAGAGTTTAAAGGGCATATGATCGAATCTCCTAGCCCAAGCAAAAATTCCTTCAAACTGAACCTTAGCATTACGTAAAATAGTTATATTTTTTATCTGCATTGCCCAAGGCAATAATTCAAACCAGTCTGTTCACTAAGGTCAAATAATAATTCTGTGAAATAATTCTTAACAATTGAGTCTTTGAATAATGATATGAAACTATGCATATTTATTAAGAATTGCTTTCTCCTCAGAGGCTTTTTAATTACTACTTCTAGTACTGTGTTTGCACTGACTTGCTAAGGACACTAACTTCTGTATGCCTCACATTTTTCCAGCAATGAAAGGGAATGTATGGTTTAAGACAGAAAGACAAATCCTATATCAAGAGATTTGGGGAAGAGAGGCTAAATAGATCTGAAACAAACAAAAAAAGCTGAAGATAGGCAGGTCTTTTTTTTTTTTTTTTAAGGCACATTTCTTTCGTTTTCCTCTTATCTGGCCTTGAATACTTTGACACCATTCCTTTTTAAAACTATATTTATGAGAAGTCTCCCTGGCTTCTGTTAGCTACATTGCAATCACTCATTTATAATACCACCTTTCAGAACAGTTAAAATTAGAATTCTGAGCTCCTCAGGGGACAGGTGATATAAAAAGGCTAAGAACAGGGAAAACACACTGTACTACTCCTGAGTTCCTCATTAGATGTCCTCATTACCTTTCTAGTAAAATTCTAAAACAACTAGCATTTGTCACATGAGTATATTAAACAACAGTACAGGTACAGTTCTTCTCATACATTATCTATTAGCATAGAAATTGTGAAGGAAGTTCTATTTTCTATAAAATATTTTCGAAGTTCAAATGAATGTTTTAGGTTTTCTCCTCATGAGTCTCTTCTTTTGAAAAATCAGGAAATACAAATACTGCATTCTGCAAGCCGAGACTTTTTACATACTCATTATATTTGAAATTAAATAATTAAAAGAAAAACATAATTTCCATTCATTTTAAAAGGAGAGAAGCAAAGCACAGATAAGAAAGAAACCATTTTAACTATAGCTAAAGTTTATTAACCGAATGGTATAAAAAAACAATACTTCTACATTTCTAATGAATAATTTTCCTTGTCGGGAAACAATCACATCACTTGCTTCACCTTTAAGTGAAATTACAGAGAAATGGAAAGTTCAGCTAATGTTTTCTTCCAGGAAAATGATAAATGGCATCTCAAGCATGGTCTAGGCAAGACAAATGCAAATACAATACAGCATCATATTAGCCCAACTACTGAAGACAGAGGATCACAGGATTATCAGGGTTTGCTAAATAGGAAAGAGGATATTTATAGACATCAGGGTTATGCTTGAAAGGTACTAAGTAAGCTGATTTAAGAGGCTGGAGGAAAGACAGCAGAATAAGTCTATTCTATGCTTCTATTCATATATATATATATATATATATACACATATATATACATACATATATATCCATACTATATTTTAAATGTCAAACGAAAGGAGGCAGACATTAGAGGTTAGTTTTATTAAGGAGCTAAGTTTTGCAGTATAAATACAAGGAAATGGATTTTTAAAGTGTAATTTTGGTCAAAATATCCATCCATCCATCCATCCATCCATCCATCCATCCATCCATCCATCCATCATTAAACGCCCAAAATGTGCTCCAAATACAATCGTGAGCAAAACAGGATCTGCACGCCTATGGCATTAAATAAAGTCAATTTAAGAAACAAGAACTTTTAACTGTAGATTATGTGTTATCAGCATGCATGTATACAAGTTATCTGCACCCTGATGGACAGAAGTGGTCTGACTCAGCTATAAAACATTTAAACAAACTTTTCTACAGGCAAATCATGAATAGATGTGCTATTTACTATAGACATTTTTTCTGCCTCAAAATCAGCTTAAACTCAACTACTGGCAGAAGCATGGCGCACCGACCTAAAATGATACAAACTAGGTCATTCAAAGAAACTGTGTGGTGCAAGGGAAAAGAAGGATGTGTTGGCATATGGGAAAAATATATGTGGCAATGAGGAGCAGCTAAAATTTAAATATTAAAATTAGTAAGCCAACTGTCAAGTATATGCACTCTCTATAACTAGTTTAAATGGAAATGACTTCGATTTATTTTTACCTCTTTAACAAAAAATTGGCGCTGCCCAATGAGACCTTATTAATTTTCAGGAACTCCTATAGTTTTGATACAGAGAACCTCACCCAAACTTTGTGTTCTTTCTCCTCATTTCTATACTAAACAAATACAGTGTTTCCTGAGGAACAAAATATGGGCATCTCTTCAGAAAGGGTGGGTTCCTACTTCACTACAAACCTAATGAAAAGAACACTGCAGGCTTTAGAGTTCCATAGACTTGTAGTCAACTTCTCTATATGTATAACACCAGCCACAGTTAGATATAGAAAAATGGTAACAATATTTATATCTCAAGAAAAATGCTATGAAAATTAAATGTGTACAGCAGGACACATAGTAGGCATTCAAGGCAGTAGTTGTGTGTTTTTTTGTTTTTTTTTTACTTTTCACCGAACATTTTCTGACCAGAAAGCATCATCTTGGGAACAATTTTCAAATGCTGAACATGCTTGATAACTAGGTTCATATATGTAGAAAGTACTCCATAAGTAATTCGTGAATGAAGGAGTCATATATTAAATAACAATGATTAGTTATGTACCAAAATTATTGTCATCTTAGTATTTCACCAAGGACTTGGTATCATAGGGCAGGGGTAAAACTGCTGATCCTAAATGTTCAGAGAAACCAATGGGTTTTGTTGCAGTATTCCACTTAAAAAGCTGAAGGCTTAAAAAAAAACCCAAAAAACCAAAAACCTGGGACTTACTGTTCAGTTGTACAGTTCTCAGGGGGGGGGTCATGGGATACCAGATGTGACACACTTAAGCATACCACTGGCCATTTAAATTCCATGTTCTACTTTCAGTTCTAAGAATACCTCACACTTTTGAAGATAGAAACAAAAAATGTATTTTGGAAACCAGATAACGAACCCAGAATAATTTGTCCTAATTTCTTATTGTTCACTTTAGGAAAAAATAAAAAGAAAACCAAAATCTGTCTTGATCACTTAACATAACAGTTGTATACAACAGTGTTGTATACATTGTCAATTTGTTGTATACAGTGTCAATTTGCACCTGGAAACATGAACAGTGGTTAATTTATTGCGGCCTGTAATTATAAATTAAACAATCACAAAATTATACTCGTACAGTCCACTTAATTGATAAACAAACTGGGAAAAGTTAGGTTACTCTCATGCATTTCTCATTTATTGAAGACATCTATTCTCTGTTGGTTTGGCATGCCTTTTTCATTTCAATTGTAGTTATTTTCTGTGTAAATATTTATGTTTATACTCATTTTTGTGGAGAAAAACAGCCTTTAAATGGACAGCTCATGTATAAATGATTAATAAAAAGAAAACATGTAAAAATTTGTTTAGCTTGAGGTTAATAAAACTGCAATGTAGTAAGTGTGAAATGTGATTGGCAACTTCGGATCAAATAATTCTACTTCTTCAACAATCTGACAATGTAAAATCAATTGAGATTTTTTTTGTTCTATCAAAATTTACTCATTGGAGATCTGACCAAAGGTACACGTATTTTTTCCTTGTGGACATCTAGCATTTTCTTATTTTATAAATCATTAGAAGTGGTTCAGCATTTCTAAAAGTTAAAAAGGAACTGGGGTTGGGGTAGGGAAGTAACTCTAACTTTGAGTGTTTGCTCTTTACGGTTGGTAAGCAAACAAACTGCTCTAAATGCCTCAAAATCAATTTTTCTTTGCTTGCTCTAAAACTACTCCATTTCAGTTTTTTAGAGGCAACTATAAAAGTTGACTGATAGATTCCGGTAATAATTCCATTTTAATACCCTCCAACTACACAGAAATCAACAAGGAACAGAGTGTCAACGGTCAAATCTGCCACACATCATAATTCAGAGTTTGGGAAAGCTTTAATTAGGTCTGACAGGGAAAAGGCTTGCTAAAATTGATGCCCACTCTCCAGTTTTAATTTCCCATTCTTTTTTGGTTTGGAGACCCTAAGCTTAGATTGGTTCTGGTGTAGTCATATGCAAAAGGTTGCAACAGGTTCTGAGGGTTGTAACTGGGGACCGGGCAGCAAATTTCCTTCCATCAACATGGATTAAGTATTGAAAGGAAGATTGGTCATCATCAACAACCAGACCTTGCAGAACCCTCAGCAAATAACTCCGGACTGCAGAAGCACGCCCGCCACGCAGACACCAAGGCGGCGTAAAATCTACCAGGAATCTCTTCCAAGAGGCGCACCTTTTTTGTGTCCTGGGATTTACACTCCTCCCTCCAGAGACGAGCACATCGTGAGGAAGAGGAGCGCTAGGCTACCATCTCCCCTGGTACCTCCAGGGCGACCTCAAACGCAGTAGCGCTGGCCCTGCACCGCGCTTCTGGCCCGCCCCTGGCGGACCCCACTTTCCTGCGGCGTGGGGAGGCCGATTCCCCGGGAATATCTAAGCTTGCGTGCGGAAGCTGCTCTACGCAGCCCCTCGGATCCGCTCTCATCCCAGCCCCCAGAGTAATGATGGAGCCCCGACTCCGCATGGGGACAGTCACGCACCCTTCCAGTCCCTTCCCCCGTATAGGGACCCGTTGCAAGCCCACCTTCCTCCCCAGGCCCAGGTCTCCCTCCAGGGCCCACACCTTCCGGGTTCCCCGCCATCCCCCGAAACCAATTCTGGACTCAGACAGCAAGCTGAGCGCCGTCCCATTCCCTCCTTGGCTTTGAGCGCAGTGCCCTGCCCTGGGCCTGGGGAGGGGAGGGGGGGGTGACCGACCGGCTCCGGAGGGGTCCAGGCCCCTGGACACTCACCATCCTCCCGCCGAGTCCCACCTCCTCCTCCTCCTCCTCCTCCTCCTGCCTCCCCCGTTACCAGGGGCAACTATTGCGGTGCCGCCCCCAACGTCCCTCGCACGCACAGCGGAGGATCAAAGCAGCAGGACGGGGCGGGGTCCAGCTTCGCTTTCCCCTAAGTGCGCAAGCGCGCCAAGGTTCCCGCCCATTGCGCAGGCGAGCGGCTTGAGAGGCAGGAGGTGGCTGCTGGCGTGTAGAGACCCAGGAATGGTGACAATTTGCCCACGTGGCCGGCAGGGGCCACCAGGCCTGTGATTGGTCAAGAGGATGTGGGGGCGAGGCGAAGGGAGGTTCCTGGGCGGAGTTCCGCGGTGCATCCACGCCAGGCTTCCAACGCGGGCTGCATCTGGTGGCATTTGTCTCAGTGCATTTCTGCCGGGACGAGGTAAGTGGTCTTGAGGGGAGGCCGCCAGCCACATCTACCTCCAGTCCTTACGTCCCGGGAGGGAGCTTGTATTTCTGTTCTGACTGCCCAGGCGGGGCTGCAATGCGGGCTGGGCTTCCACTTGTTGAAGCCACGTGGCGAGAGGAGTGGCCTGGGGCTGCCCATGGACCTCTCCCTTAGGCCCCAGCGTCTTCGTCTGTCATTCTGAGGGATGGGGTGTTAAGAGTTGCGCACCCATCTCCACACACCTGTGTTAGTGCGGGATGGAGGAGTCCCAGGGGTGGGAGGCTGCCTGTCGTAGTGCAAGAAGCAGCCTGGAGACTGGTGCTGAGCCCTGAAGTGAGCTGACAGTGCGGGTGAAAGGCACTTTGGAATGGCCAGGTTTTGCTAAGTTGCGTTTGACCCAGAGGCTCGCCTCCTGCAGCCCCGAAGGAGGCAAAAAATGTGCCTACACTTCCAGGCAAGTAAGAGCAAGAGGGATTCTGGGTGAGTTGGAAGGTGCTACCTCCCACCCCTTCCCCATGCAGAGGACATGAAGAAGAGTTATGACTTAGGAGCCAGGTCCTATTCTAGACTCTGGAGACACAACAAGAGACAAAATCTACCCTCTTGGAAAATACATCCTTCCTAGTGAAATGCTTTTTGTAAAGATTTCATTTAATTCTCCCAATCCTGGAAATTGGTTATTTTAAGCAATATAGAGTGGGGACTTGAACCCAGTTCTGTATGGTTCTTGAGGAAGTGCTTTTAAATACTATTGTAATGTCCAGGTAAGAGGAACAGAGTGATCTATATTTGCGATGAAACCCAGAACTTTTCTTTTTTTAAGATTTTATTTGGGAATCGGGGGAGGGGAACAGACAAGTTGCTGTTCATCAGTCTAGTTGTGGAGGACGTTGCTTCACTGACCCATGTTGGTATTATCGTTGTGCTCTTCCTGGGTGAGGCAGTTGTTCGCCAGCCATTGGACGGCTGCTCACTGCAGCTCACGAAAGCACACACCAGCTGCCAGCCAGCGGCACTGCAGCCTACACCGTTGGGTCGCCAGTGACTCACGGCAGCCCAGCTCCAGGTCGAGCTGTTGTTCACCATCTTAGCTGTAGAGGGTGCAGTGTCACTGGCCCGCATGTGGGATCTGAACCGGGGCCCTGCTGCTCAGAGCGGCATCCCAAGCCAACATTTATTTTAGATTTTTA